TGTACATTATCTCATCGCGTTTCCAACATTGTCTTAAATTTTTGTTACCAGGCATTTCCCTGTAGAGTCAATAAAATGCGTTACTACTGTTTCGTATAGCGATAGTAGTCAGGCAGAATTGATTTTATTCACAGCTGACAATGAGCATATCACTGACCACCTTCTTGAAAGTTTTCATATGTGTGATAACACTGCCTTGAACTGTGAAATGAGTCTCGACTGACTGAAATGACGATGAATCGATTTTGTGATCACATACCGCCTTGTATTATTAGTTGTTCTCGTTTGCAATTTTTTGAAAACATTTCCTTCCGTATTATATTCCTATGGTGATTATTGTTAACAACAATAAAATCAACAATATTAACTATTACATAATGTCATTAAACGTGCTTTTGTTATAAGTGTAATGTTATATTCCAATAAAATGCTAGCATCAATGTCGTCTTCTCATGCAGAATCAGCAAAAAGTCAGCAATAACATGTGCAAGCAACAAACACCACTAGTATTGCTGTTCAGGTAATCTCGTGAGGTATCATCCACCTTGCACCGCTTTGTGTGAAGTCGACAAAACAATCAAAAGTCATCAACTAACGCAATGTGGAACTATTGAAATCCCACTGGATTTTCCATATTGTAATGCAGCAGCAGCAGTCTACGATGTTTCGCGTCCATATTGCCGGCGGCCTATTTCAAATTTGGAATTCTATTTGAATGAGCTTCAAATTTGATTTTGACGAACAGGATTTACACAATCATAACATTGAGCGGACATCTTTAGTTGGAAAATTGTGACGTATATTTATTCAACCAACCAGATTTGCTGTAGGTTGGTTGGTTGAGGTAAGTATAAGGTGGAGGGCAAGTACCACCGCTAAGAATGGATCGACTTCTGCGGTTGAGTGGATTCCCGAATGTTCGTGATTGATATCTAATGCATGCGCGTTATAGACTTAAACAAAAGGATGTGGATTAGATTGGTGTCAGATTTGTGAGTGATGATTTCAGTTTGTTTCACGTGCAACTCCAGAGGATGTTTTGCGTCATCCAGACACCGGTGAGATTGTTTACATATCATCGCTTGCTCTGCTCAAAATGCTTCGTCACGGACGTGCCGGTGTTCCGATGGAGGTTGCGCTAATTGACTTCCGAAGAATTTATTTATTCATTCATGTATAAATCAGTTCTGAACAAATCAGTTGATCCGCATTTTTGGAAAGTGTTTTTATGTGTACATTCAATTTTTAACTGACTCGAGTGACAATCCTTTCGATTATTTTCATGGTCATTCGCAGAAAATTCATCGTCAGTTTTGATCAGTGAAGATTGCTAGTGAGTCATAAAGGTGGTTTAGCTGTATGATCACTGAATGCTCAAAATTCATGTTATAGCAATCTTTCTGAAGTGTTCAGAGGCTGAGAAATGATTTTTTCACGTCAATCATTCACACTCATTTTTTTCAACTCTCAGCAAATTATATTCGGATACTGAAACGATTGCAGGTGATGGGTTTAATGCTCGGCGAATTTATTGATGATTACACGGTGAATGTTGTGGATGTTTTTGCAATGCCTCAGTCTGGAACGGTTCGTTTTAATAGGGAGTCATTGATTCTGACTCGAGATTAACAAATTTGAGGGTGCATCTCCACAATAAGGTGGCGGCTGGACGCACTCGAGCAACACTTATCATTGGAACGGCATTGTCAATCTCAGAACAAGTTCTATTCGCAATCCGATTCCACATCCAATTAATCAAAACAAACTAATCACCGACGTCAGTGGGATTCTTTCCGAACCAATTCACACATCCCTTCGAATTTTCACGACAACTGCACCCCGAGATATCGCTTCATAGGACTGACTTATTTGTTCACCTCGTTTGATTACATTACAGGGCACGTCGTATTTTCAATCTAACGACTAACGCTCACTTATGCGAACAATTCCGATGATTTGAATACCATAACGAGCAAAACTGCTTGATGCGAGAATACATAAAATGAGAAGGAAGTGAGGTGAATAAAATGTGAATTCAGGGAGTATCAGTGGAGGCCGTAGATCCAGTGTATCAAA